TCACCTCTGATAGTCCTTTTCCTCCAAATTCCCCCACCAATCCTCTTTAAGTAGGATGGCGGGTCCACAAAACTATCACGTTAACAGTTACCTCTGATAGTCAAACTTACCAGATAATGGCCTACCAGGTGATGTGCCTCTATTCCGACTTTATGGATAGTGCCCCACTAGGTGATGTGCCTTGTCTACCTCTTTTTATTCCCCTGCTAAGTCTTAATCAAGACTGGGGGTTGGTTACTTGGAATCCACAGGATTAAGAGTAACAAATCTTTCACATCGTCAAGTTAACATTACACTTCTGACGATCATCACCCACAGAGTATGAATGCAGCTTGCATCACTCCCAATTTGTCACGTTAACAATACACCTCTGACAATCAACCTATCACTCCTCTTCAATAAGATGATAGGTCCTCAAAATTGCTCAAATCGCAATCTGTCCACAAAGTTGCTCCGATCACAACAAATTCCCCCGTCATGTTAACACCAAACCTCTGACAATCCACTTATCAATCCTCATCAATAGGATGATAAGTCCACAAAGTTGCCCTGATCGCAACATCTTCCTGTCACGTTAATATCACACCTCTGACAAAATTCACTTATCAATCCTCTTCAATAGGATGATAAGTCCCCAAAGTTGCTCCAATCGCAACACAAATTTTTTGTCACGTTAATACCAAACCTCTGACAAATTCACTTATCAATCCTCTTCAATAGGATGATAAGTCCACAAAATTGCTCCAATCGCAACACAAATCCTGTCACGTTAACACCAAACCTCTAAATTCACTTATCAATCCTCGTCAATAGGATGATAAGTCCACAAAGTTGCTCCAATCGCAACATCCTCCTGTCACGTTAACATCACACCTCTGACACAATCCACTTATCGACTCTCTCTAATAGAGCGATAGGTCCTCAAAGTTGCCTTGATCGCAACAATCAACTTATCGACTCTCTTCAATAGAGCGATAGGTCCACAAACCCGTCAAGTTAACACCACACCTCTGACGACCAAATCAACTTATCGACTCTCTTCAATAGAGCGATAGGTCCACAAATTCCTGTCAAGTTAACATCACACCTCTGACGACAAAATTAACTTATCGACTCTCTTCAATAGAGCGATAGGTCCATAAAATACTGTTAGGTTAACATCACACCTCTAACAGTCAAACCCCCCAATGAACTTGTTAATCCTTTTTCAACAAGAATAGCAAGTTTTCATTATAAAATCCCCAGTGGATTAGAGATTTTCTGAAATTATCCTAGTGATAATAAAGAAAGTTTCTGAATTTCACTCTAAGTGAAAATTCATGCCAAGTTAATATTACACCTCTGGCGCTTCCAACTTTCTTTCAGTGTTTCAAGTAACACAGGAAGAAATAATGACAAAGTCTACGTATTCAACATCGTAGCACCAAAATCCATACCTTTTATGCATGTGGGACTTTATCTTGATCCCTAATTAGAGATAAGCCTACGCCTAACACGCGTTGCCGGTTAGTCTTTTACCGTGAAAAGGACATCAAAATCTATGCCTCACACGCATGGGGGACTTTATCTCGATCCCTAATTAGAGATAAGCCTACGCCTAACACGCGTTGTCGGTTAGTCGTTTCCCGTGAAAATGACAAAGTCTATGTATTCAAAATCATAGCATCAAGTCTAAGAGGGTTCATTCTCTTAGCACAACGTTACATGTGGAACGGACTTAGACAATCCACATGCTAGCCCGACTCAAACGGTAGTCGGTAAAGGCTTATCAAATCCGTTGATGGCTGAGGGGTTGCCAAAAATCCTATGCACGTTTGCAGGACCATCAGCTTAATGGATGTGAGCCGAGACTTAAAACAGATGAGCCAAAGACAAGTCTCAAAGACTTAGTCAAAAATGCACGGAAGCCACTTCCATGTCTTAAGTCAAAACGTTGAGGTCAGACCCGCGATGCAAAAACCGAACGCCGAGGTCACACCCGTGTTCCAAATTCAACATGCAAGGATGAGACCCGCATCTCAAATTCAAAATGTAGGGTCCACCCCCACATTCCAGAAGCAGGATTATGGCGCATACCTTCACACAGGTCCTACGTGGCAAATCCCTTCAACCAAGATGCCTTCGAAGCAAGTACAGAGAACAAATCCTTTACCACAAGGAATCAACAGCTCCAAGATCAAAGTTGGGATCCAAAGTGTTTCGAAAATTCGTCCTAGTCAACCGCGAACTTTTGAAAACTTTGGAGGGGGTTCTGTAGGCTGTCTAAAAATCATAATAGATAGCTGATCCTCATCAAACACCGATGATGGAAGTTACAATTTGACGACTTCCAGAAGGCTACAATTCGAAGACTTTCACATAGATCGCTGAAGGTTACAATCTGACGACCTTCACGACAACTGATGAAAGCTCTAATTCAACAGCATTCACAATCAACATCGGGAGTTACAATCTGACGACTCTCATATATCAGAGAGCTAAAGCAAAGATTACAAAATGACGATCTTTGCAACACTTCGACAGAAAGAGACTACAAATCAATGGTCTCTTCAAATCAAGACGTGGAAGTCCTCCCCACGTACCATCATCAAGATGCGCCGCGTTCATAGCCACGAACACAGCTCAAATGCAGCTCCAAAAGTTGCAAACGCAGCTTAAATCACCACTGGACGCAGCTCAACATCGCTGCCCGACGCAGCTCAACATCGCTGCACAACGCAGCTCAATATCGCTGCCCAACGCAGCTCCAAGCGCTGCCCAACGCAGCTCTATATCGCTGCCAAACGCAGCTTTCATCCGCTGCAAACGCAGCTTCCAATCACTGCGTTCAAGCTTCCAGACACTGCGTTTGGACACAGAATTCATGCCAGAATGCAGGATCTGCGTTTGACTCGTTCAAACACGAGTTGAACGATTTCAAAACCGTTTCCCACAATCTGAGGGGATCACAACTCCACTCAGAATTGCTGGAACTTTGGAGATCGACAACAGGAGCTTTCTTTATCCTTGACTTATAAACCGATTTTGGTTAAATCAACTCTTTCATACAGTTTCAAACTCATTCAGAGTTATCAACTTATCAAGATTTAATTTCAAACTTACTTTGCAAGTTCTTCATAGAGTCAAATCGTGAGGAGAAGACTACGTTCCAGTGAAACAAGACGTCGGATCGTCAACGAGAAGCAAACTCGACGCGAACATTCGAGGGAGGCATCTCATCGCCACCGTGAAGAACCCAGAATTAAACAAAGGAGAGAATCAAATTCATTCTCTTCTCTTTTGTAATTAGGAAATCCAATTGTAACTGAGATTAAAGGAATACAAATCAAATTTTCCTTTATTGTCTTTTTACTGCAAATTTTCCACAAACAGTAGTAACACTAATTTTCACATTTATTGATAATTTTTCCTCTAATTTCACAAAATTATTGATAATTTCCACACTAATTCCACAAATTTTTTGCACTTCACAAATTTCGTAAATAATTCACAATTAAATTCTAAAATCTAGATTTTTACATGTAATCACAATCAAATAGTGAGAGTATACAAAAATTAGAGAGTATAAATTTTTTTAGAAAGAATTTACCTGTTTTTTAGACTGAGACTGAGATCTGACAACGATCTGACGACGCCGACGATCGGAAAGGAGATGACGGCTCGGAACGCTGGGCGGCGGCGGTCGAGCGCTGGGCGCGGCGCTCGGCGCTGGTGGCGCACGGCGCTCGGGCACTGGGCGCGGCGGCGATCGGGGACGAGGGAGGTAGGATAGGGTTTATCGGCTAGGGTCGGGCTGGGTCACGCGTGCGTTTTAATAGGCACGCCAAACTCCACCGGGAGTTCAACTCCGCGTGGAGTTGCAGGCAAGCATTTCCCAGAGAGCGTTTTTTGGAAAATGCGGCCTGTAACTCCACGGTAGTTGAATTCCCGGGGAGTTTCATAAGTGCATAAATCTTCACGGGAGTTGAACTCCCGTGAAGATTTATGAAGAAATTAATCTTCACGGGAGTTCAACTCCCGTGAAGTTTAAAAATACACTAAACTTCACGGGAGTTGAACTCTCATGAAGTTTCAAAATTTTTTTTACAAAAACCGTCCTTTTTTCAGCGCTGGGCTAAAAACAGATCGGTTTTTATAATTTTTTTCAAAACCGATCGTTTTTTTTAAAAAAAAAACCCAAAAGAGTGTTTTGAAAATTTATCCTTACTTTATAATACATATCTTTAGTGGGGTCCCACGAGGCACTGACTACTGTTCTTTACCATTTATATATCCAATCACGTGGGGTCCATCGCGCTAATTAATCTCGTCCGTCGCCGACAAGATTAAGCGGATAATTCTCGCCGAGGGCATTATCGGTATTTCCCGTAATCAGAAAAGGACAGCCTCCTTCCTTTTCAAACGCTAGAGAGTAAAGACGCTCGGTACTCTCACTCGATGGTCTTCTAGCTCGATTCAAAACCCGAGAAATCCTTGGAGGTTTGTTTCTAATTTTATTTGGATTTTCTTTGATTCTGTTAGCAGTCTGCTTAGATTTGTCGGTCTTGCTCGGTAGATCCTAATGATTGAACGCTTGGAGTTTCTTCAGATCCTCTGATTCCTGTTGCAAGATGGAATCTAAAGATCGGAGAGGATGATCTCAGAAATTTTTATCATCTGTTTTGATCCAAATCTGACCATTTCCAGCTTTTTTGATTGGAATTTTCTTTGGCTTGCTTTATAAACGGAACTGTTGAGTTCGGGATTCGTTTTCAGTGGAAGTTGGAAGCTTGGGGCATTTTCAATACAGATTCTTGAATGAATAGTATCATTCCAATAGAAGCCGCAAGTTTTCTATTTACGTATAAAGTGCATAGTTCTGTGAATGGTTGAGGTGCTGTATACATTGAATTGTATGACATCGGCAAAAAAAAAAACGCTCTATGAAAAAGGGTCTGCTCACTTAATCCTAGTAGCACTCTGCTTCAACATTGTTGCATTTTCGACATTTCATGTGGAGTGCTTATTTCATTTTCTTTAAGGCAACAAATCCTCTACCTTAATCTGTTGAAGCACGCTTGAGAATATATACCTTATTAGTTAGCCTTGTAATTTATTTCCTAATGTAAAAATTTTAAGATCATTATTTCCGTGTGTTAGCATTTTCTTTGCCCTTTGTGCAATGCCTCTGAAAAATAAGTTCAATTGTCATGGCACTAGCTTAGAATCTTCACTAGCTTGTGCCCTTTGTGCAATGCCTCGGAAAATTAAGTTCAATTGTCAAGGCACTAGCTTAGAATCTTCACTAGCTACAAGCCCATTTAATCGCTAACGAAAATTTAATGGATTGAGTAGTCAAGTTTGTGCAGATTATTAAACTCTGGAAGTATTTATAAATTGATATTTCTAATAGGATATATCTTAGTTTTCAACAGTTGGTTTCAGCTTTACTTTTTCAAGGTCAGGTAATAGTTGGGTTTACATAGATGAAGACGATACTGTTAGCATCTGTGGCTAAATCTGTAATAAACAGTGAGAACTGAAATGCTGTAATTTAAAACTTTTTTCAAGTTTAGTTGCTGTGCGTTTATGAAATGCTGTGCTTAAAGCAATATTTGGTCTACTCCGGTGCAAGGATCCCAAGACCAAACTGTTTTCAGGGACAGAAGTACAGTACTCTGGTGTGCACCGACCCAGTACTGTTAAGATCACCTCGATCTATAAGATCTTTCGGTCAAGGCAAAAATCTCGATCTGTTAAAACCTTTCGGTTCGGGCAGAGATCTCCTCGATCTGTTAAAACCTTTCGGTTCAGGCAAAAATCTTTCAATCTGTAAAAACCTTTCGGTTCAGAGCTATGTTACTTCAGGCATAGACTAAAGCTTTCACGCTTTCAGACTCTGCAGCAGCAGCACAACAACACAAAACATTTATGTATTTTTCGTACCTATTTTTTATCTCTTATCACCAAGAGCTCCCCAAGAGGCACTATATATAGGCCTCTAAGACCAGCTCAAAGATTACCCACATTTAATTTGACCGTTACAAACATAATGATAATTATGACAATTATATTTGTAACGACAAATAATATAAATGCTGTAACTGCTGCATGCAGTAACGTCTGAACGCGAAGGTCGCGATCCTGCGCAACACGAGGGTTGCTTCCAGCCTCGTGCTAACGCAAAGGTCACGTTCCCTCTTGTGAATGCGAGGGTCGCACCCTCATGCGAACGCGAGGCTCGTCCGCATGCTGCGAAACAGTCCTGCGTCCGCATGCTGCGAAGCAGATTGTGAGGCAGCCAACGTGGTGCCACCTAGCCCCGATGCCTTCGTGCATAGTGCAAAGTGCGCCTAACAAAGCGTCACTTAACGCCTCAGCCCGATTAGCCTCGATCCCTGGTCCATTGGCCTACGACTCACGAGCCCACGACCCATGGCCTCACGGCTCACGGCCCGCGACCCACTAGAACTTATGAGAGATTAATTAAATAAAAATAATTCTTGGCTTGACGTCGGCAAGCCTCGAACATAGGACATTTAAAATATCAAAACTTTGACTTTCCGCTATGCTACTAAGGATTTCTGAAAAATACCAGTAGTTAATAAATACATAGTTTGAAAACTTATTTTTAGAAAGCGGTTTTGACCAAAAATATCCAACAGATACAAGCTCTGCGCTCTGCCATGTACTGCGTACATTAGGATACTAGCTGTCTAGCAGCTGACCCTCGATCACCTCGGGAGTAAATTAAGATAACATCAGCTACTCTTCTGCTCTTTTTTTTAAAACCCCCAATTTAGAGGTAGCTCACAAGGGTTTCATTTTCATAGCATATTCTGCTTATAACAGTAGCTGCCTCTTTTTTTTTTTGGTTTTTGGACAGTTTTTCTAACTGCATACTAAACAGTGGGGATTACATTAACATTTCTGTAGTTGAATTTGACTTCAGTAAGGATATTTTTATCCTAGGATTTTACTTGGTTTTAGCAATAACTGAACATGCTAAAATATTTCAGGTATATGATGGGGTCAAAGATGAAGTCAGCTGACAATCGAACTCGAAGCTCATTGCGAATTATTGTTGTTGTCGGTCTCTGTTGTTTCTTCTATCTGTTAGGTGCCTGGCAGAGGAGTGGTTTTGGAAAGGGTGATAGCATAGCCCTGAAAATTACCGGGGACTCAGCATGCACTATCTTGCCAACTTTGAACTTTGAAACTCATCATAACTTTGGGGGTGACATTATCCCTTCTGAATCAAAGGTTAAAATGTTTAAACCATGTGATGCACGCTACACGGATTATACACCATGCCACGATCAAAATCGAGCAATGACATTTCCTAGAGAAAATATGATCTATAGAGAGAGGCATTGCCCTCCTGAAAAAGAGAAGTTGCATTGTCTTATTCCAGCACCTAAAGGGTATGTGACACCATTCCCCTGGCCGAAGAGCCGTGACTATGTACCATTTGCAAATGTTCCATACAAGAGCTTGACCATTGAAAAGGCTGTACAGAATTGGGTTCAACTTGAGGGTGACGTGCTTAAGTTTCCTGGAGGAGGAACTATGTTTCCTCAAGGAGCAGATGCATATATAGATGAACTTGCATCGGTCATTCCAATTGCTGATGGAACTGTTAGAACTGCACTTGATACTGGATGTGGGGTATGTACTTTTAGTTATTTTATCATTTTCTTGGATTATGGGCTACCCCCGCATCTCACCCCCTCCCCATTTGCAACTTGCACA